GCACCATCCATCAACTGTCGCTGGACGCCGAACTTCCAAGGTAAGCGGAGAAGCCTACGAAGAGGTGGCGGGAGGGCGGAGACCTAGGATGCGCAAGGTTTCTTCTTTGCACACTGCGATACAAGGAAATAATATACTAAAAGTGAAGTGAATTTATACGGAATGAAACGAAGTGTAAAGAGGCATCATGAGCGAAGTGAACATGTGTCCGCGCGACAAGATAATAATAATAGCGCAGGTTAATTGTATTTTACGGTTGCAAAAGGGCTTTGTTGCTGCAATTCTCATATTATTACAAGAAACGAGTGCGTGCGTCACGAACAAGCGAAACGAAGGAAAAGACGAATTATATTATAGCGCCAATACAATGATCATATTCGGGCGCATTTATAAACTAAATAAAAATACTAAATTATGGAGTCCTGGCCCTTTTCGAGCTCTCGTCGTCTTCCACGCAGGCACCTTGATGCATTTGCAGCATCGCGGCAAAAGGCGTATGTGCTTGCGTGATGCGCGAAGGCACTTGGCGTCCTCATCCTGTCCTTTCCTACCCTGCAAGCGTTTTTTTCCCATCCTGTAAGGCCAAACGTTACATTTCTGAGGGTGTTTGGCTTAGAGGTGCGACTTGGAGGAAAGGGCGTTTCGCTTGGAGGAGGAGGGTGTTTGGCTTAGAGGCGCCTTGGAGGAGAGTGTTTGGCTTAGGAAAGGGCGTTTCGCTTGGAGGAGGAGGGTGTTTGGCTTAGAGGCGCCTTGGAGGAGAGTGTTTGGCTTAGAGGTGCGCCTTGGAGAATTGAAATGTTTTTCCCTTTGTGGGGCTCGCGTTTTTGGACCAAATACCTCGCGCTAAATAAATTGAGATGTTTGGGCTGACTCCACGAGCTCGAAGGGCGCAGACGGGGTGCTTAGAACCACCTCTGCACCCTTTTCAAACCGGGCTAGGTTCGTTCCGCCTACGTTCCGCTATGTTCCGCCTTCTTTTGGCTTTTCCCCATGGTAGGGCTGGGTTACGTTCCGCTCTTCCGCTGGCTACGTTCCGCTACGTTCCGGGTTGTTTTCGCTTGCGCCCATGGGCTGCGGCGCGAGCTATTTGGTCATGGCTAGAAGGGCGCAGAGGGGGTTCTCAGCACCCCCTCTGCGCCCTTCGAGCTCGTGGAGTCCGGGGCATCCCGTTTCAGCTATATAACATTAGTTGAAACGGGATGCACCGGACTCCACTCTTTGCATCCCCTGGAACCCATGTTTCGCTCGGATAAGCTTTCAAGCGCACTATGGGCTGGTCCCAGGAAAAGTCCCAAGCACCCAAAAACCGGCGCTGGTAACGTATTCGGACGGCTCCGGCCCGGACCATCTTCGGTATGGCGCTCGTTTCCCATAAAAAGGGTGGCTTGGGAGAAAAGGGTCTATAGCCCTCCCATAAAAAGGGCGGTTTAAGTAGATTGAGATGTTTATCTCTTTGTAGGAGAAAAGGGTCTATTAACCCTACGGCCGCTTGCGGTCCCTACAAAGGCCTTGCAAGATTGCACCCATAGCTCTCGTCAGGAACCCAAACCCTGTGTTTTGCAGTAGGCTTTTCCATTCATTCAAAGCCCATGCAAAACGAAAACCTCCGCTGGTAACGTAATCGTGGCTCCAAAATCTCCCTATACACACCACAAAAAATGAAACGACAACTACCCATATATACACCACAAAAAATTGAAACGGTTAGGGTTTCCTTTCAACTTTTTGTGGTGTCCGTTTCAATTTGTTGTGTTATGTATATGGGATAGCTTCGTTTCATTTTTTTGTGGCGTGTATTGGGAAATAAGCGTTTAAGGTCTTCCTAGGTCTGCCTGCTCTGCGAAAAAGTTCTATGGCCCGAATCTGGGTTTCAAGTTTAAGGTTTTCCCAGGTCTGCTTGCTCTGCGAGAAGGCTCAATGGCCCGAATCTGGGTTTCAAGCTTAAGGTTTTCCCAAGTCTGCTTGCTCTGCGAAAGGTTCTATGACCCTATAGCCCGAATCTGGGTTCCAAGCTTCAGGTTTTCCCAGGTCTGCTTACTCTGCGCAAATGTTCTATATGGCTGGGTTTCAAGGTTAAAGGTTCTACCAGAACCAAATCAAGTCCTCTTTTTGCGCGAAAAGGTTGCGAAGTCACGAAACTGACCGGTGAATGTTGTTCGAGCTAATTTCAACTCCTTCTGACCAAAAATCTTGCCAGGCTTTAAGACGATTGTGAAGTCACGAAACTGACCGGTCAATGTTGTTCAGACCCTCTTTTCAGCGGTCATTTTCTCGTCCGCACCGAGCCTTTTCCCACATCCCTACTTCGCCTTGCTCTCGACAGAGGGGGCCGTGGCATGGAGTGCAGGCGATGGCAGGTCGTCTCCACGGAATGCCTCAAGCAAGCCGGCGCGCCAACGCGGACGTTCGCAGCAGGTCCGCACGAGGACGGAAACTCGTCGTCGCTCACCAAGGGGCAGATGTGCAGCGCTGTCACGCCAACAGCAGCGGCCAAGGTGCCGTAGTTGATGCCTCGCCGATTGGCGAACACGTGGTAGGTTTGCACAGCCTCGGAGAGAGAGGAAGTGGCAGGCAGACAAGCCGAGACTCCATGATGCAAGAGCATCTCCTCGAAGCTCGGGAAGGTTTGAACAGCTAGAACGCGCACCACCAACTGACCGCCGTGCGTGCCACTGACCTTGAATGTCATCCAATCATCTGCGGCGACCCGAGAGTATGGTGGTTGCCCTAATGACCGGGTCCGCCAAACCCCATGAAATTTTGCATACATTTCCGTAATCGGTTTGGGGTCTGGACCCCACTTGCTCCAGAAAGCTGAAAAACTGGTTAACGGTTCGGGTTTGGCACCATGTTTCAAAGCAGAACACTTCGTTCTGGCATTGGGCAGGTCCCTGAAACAGGGAATTCATTGGTTTTGACACCAAGATTTCCAGAACATATACTATGCCAACTCAAAACCCTGCACCTGTTGGCACTTATTGCGTTTGTTTTTTCCCACTTAAAATGGAACGCTTGCAGATGACGCATGTTTTTCTTGCTTGAACTTATGTTGAACATGTGCTCTCTGCCTGGCTATTGCTGTGTATTTGTCGCAATGTTGCGGGAGTCATTGTGTGGAAAGGCTAGTTGCCAATGACATGGTTTGCTTTTCCTGTCCCACCACTCCAACCATGCAACCAGGAAGTTGGACTGAACCCCAATGCTTTCAGCTGCAATCTTATGTCTTCGCCAACCGACTTCCCCGGGCATTGTTACAAAACTGCAGCTATTGACATTCTGTCACTGGGTTTAGTAAGATGTTTCACCATTTGAATCCACCCTTCAAGGATGGAATTGAGGGTTTAGGTGTTTGGAGCTGGTTCGTGTTTAGAGTCTTAAAAAACCCACCACCACCCTGGACCTCAGGACTTGAACTACCCGTGCTCTTTTCTTTTATCTTCTTGCTCGCCAAATCGCTCCTTTCAAGGACCGAAACGAGAAACTTGAAACATGGGTCAAGGGTTCGGCTTTGCTTTGGTCGCAGTGTCTCCAAACAAAGATTGCATGCCCTGACTGGAGACCAACCTGAATTTGTCCAGGCCCTGCGAACGGGAAGCATCCTGTCGCAACAGCCTTTTCTCAGCTGCTTGAAGCTTCTGTCTTGTTTCAGCCAAGTTACTCTCCAACTCAGCTTTCTTTGTCGTTAAAGCTGAGATGGCCTTTTCCTGGCTATCTGCCAGAAGTCGAGTTCGCTTCAAAGTACACTTGAGCTCTTCCACCTCATTCTCCAAACAAGCGATTTCCAAATCTTTGCCATCTTTTTCGAAGGTTCTCCTGACCCCGCGTCTGATGGTTTGATTCGAGCAAGGCTCTGCAGTCGGCAGTATCGCAGGTCCAGGTCTCTCGCTTTTGGTGTCTCCCACAGATGGCTGAGCTTCCTGTGCTGCGATTGCAGTATCACCCCTTTGGGAGCTGGCCATTGACGATGATCTCACACACAGTATCGACAATGATAATATATGAGAAATGTTGAGCACATTATTTTCTATCACACTGGTCTGTCAAACCCTTGCAATGCGACAACATGCATGCTGCACATCTGACAGGCAGTGCTGGGCAGCATAAGCCTTCACACAGTACAACACATTGCACATCCATTCGCAACGGGCACCATTCTAGCATATACGTTTTTCTTTTTTTTCATGGGCTTGGGACCTGTTCCCATCCTGTGGCCTAGGCATCTGTGCTTGCAAAACAGTACCTCGCAGACTCGCAGACTCGCAGCATTGGATATGGGGCCTTGCAGTCTCCGGCTGCTGACAGTTGAGAACAGTACTTAGCCCCACTGACTGCCTGGCACTTCGATCGTCAGCTGACTAGTTTTCACAGACCTTACACAGCACATGATCTTTGTAGTGCTTTCCGGCACTTGTTCCTGGTCTTGGGACTTTTGCCCTCACTCGGCCTCGGTATCTGTGCTATGCCATCTAGCTGGCCCCTGCGCCACACAGCACCTCGCAGAATCACAGCATTGGGTATTGTCCTTGCAGTGTTATGCTGACAGTTGAGAAGAGTACTTAGCCCCACTCACTGCTGGCACTTTAGATCTTATTAGCTGTGAGTCTTCGAGGATCTCGAACTCTGCTCACATCTGGCTATTCTGGCTATCGTATTTGGTGGCCTGTGAGTCTGGCAAAACCTCAGACAGTAGGACCCTTGGATCTTGCCCTCGAGCTGGATCGAAGGCTTCACTGGAAAAGCACCGTGAGTCGGTTACAAAATCTCACGGTTGTGACCCTTGGATCTTGCCCTCGAGTTGGACCGAGGTTTCACCCTGTCTGAGCCTGCCTTGAAGGAGTTTGTTTTGATGGCCCGTGAGTCTGACAAAATCTCAAACACTATGACCCTTGGATCTTGCCCTCGAGCTGGATCGAAGGCTTCATTTCAAAAACACCATGAGTCTGGTGCAAAATCTCACGGTTGTGACCCTTGGATCTTGCCCTCGAGTTGGATCGAAGGCTTCACGCTGCCTGAGCCTGTGACTGAAGGAAGGCACTGAGCTTCACCAAGGCCTCGTTCTGTGCCAGGCTACCCTCCTTGTCCATCTGCTGCAGCCACTGGAGCATTGCAGGTGTGAAGGCCTCTCGTCCAAGCACTTGGCGAATGCTGTGATTCTCGTCATCGTCCCCCGAAAGTTCAAACCACACGCAGTTGGACGGAATCACAATGCTTGCTCCAGGCTTCAGCCTGGAAATCCAGCCATGATTTTCCGCTTCCAGTCGGATCTGTGTAGCTGTCATGCTTTCCAACTTTTTCACTTCCTCGGCTAGGGTCTTGCCACCCAGCCTCTCAGGACGGAACCCTCCAACTGCCAACTCCCCCTCCAAGAGAATCAGCAACATTGGGCAATTCATCTCTGTTCGCGCATAGATACTTCCGGTGTTGCTGTGCCTCTGGGCGAACTGAATCACGAAATGGTCCTGTGCCTCGGCAGGAATTCCTCGCAGTGGGTCATCGCCCAGGATGTCGGGCCAAGACCTCTGCAAGAACTGGGCCAGCCTGCCGGCCACAGCTTTCTTGGACACGATGGCGGAGCAACTGCTGCCCTGCACGAACTTCATCTTCTCTGCCACCCATGTCTTCTGCAACTTGTAGTAGTCCAGCTTAAAAACCGCATCTCGCAGCTGCTGGCTGCGATTCGTGTCCAGGACACAGGGCGGGCCTCCCGCCAAGATCTGCTGGACATTGAGGCTGTAGGACATGTTGCCACATGACTCTGTCATGCCGCTGCAGTCCTTGGCCAAGGCCATGCCCAGCTGCTCCAGGGTGTTGCTGGCAGCAACTTTGGCTATCTTCTTCCCAGCAGCTGTTTTCTGGGCTGCTTTCTCTGCGTCGCGGATTGCCTTTTTTGTGCTGTTCAGCCAGCACCTCACATCCGTGACCGTGTCTCTCGCTGCCTTGCACTCCTCAGAGGTTGTGTGGAAGTTTTTGGTCGCCTCGGTGATTTGCTGCCTCAGGGCCGCCAGCTGGTCCGCAGTCTGGTGTGTGCTTGTCTCATGCTCCCAACTTTTGTCCTTCTCATTGATGGCGGTTTCCAGGGTCTGCATGGCAATGGCCACACACCGGAACTTGGCAGCCTGCTCCTTCTTGATGTCTTCGCTTTCGTTTTCTGTGATCTTGTTGGCCTCCTCTTCCAAGGTCTTGTAAACTGTTTGCAGCCTCAAGAGCACGTTTGTCATGGTCTGCACTGCCTTTCCCTTTGCAGACTGCAGTGCCAGCTTCTCCAGGGGCAGGGACTTCTCCTGGTTCTCTTCTTTGTCTTTCTTCTGCTTTGCTTCCCTGGCTTTTCTCTCTGCAATGGCAGCGGCCTGGGCATGCATCTCTGCATCCCTTGCTTCCTCAATCTCTTTCAGCTGCCCCAGGTCTTTGCGGACAGTAAGCAGAGGGATGATTTTCTCACCACCTTCTTCCTCGTTTGCCTTGGCCTCGACTGAAAGCCTGTTCTTTGCTCGCTTCAGCCGGCTCTCATTCTCTTCCAAATATTCATCCAGCTCCTTCTCATCGGAGATATCCATTCTCTGCCTCAGTCCTGACTGGAACTCGTGGCCGTCGCGTTGTCGCACCTCCACCCCGTGGAACTGCTTCACACAGGTCTGGCCATTCTGCTGCACGGTCAAGGTGGCCGGGTTTGCTAGGAGTTTCTCCCAGCCTCCCTCAGCCTCCTTCAAAGTGTTGTACACCTTGAGCGACATTTCTTGAGCTGCCCAAGTTCTGAACGGTACGTAGACCTCCACATTGTCTTTGAAGGAGGAAGCAATCCTTCTTTCTTCCACATGGCCAACTGCAGAGCTGAAGGTTCGCTTTGTTCGGTGATCTTCTTGGGCTCGGGAAAGCTTTTGTTCTGCAAACCACTTCTTCCTGTCTTCGGGCGTCTTGGCTTTCAGCTCATCTTTGATCTTTTGTGCGTTCAATCGGCGTGCTTTTTCCTCTTCCGTTTCATCTCGGCCCTTGGGCTTGGCCAGGCTTCTATTCAGCCACTTCTCCGTTGCACAACAGCCGTTGCAGGCTCGCAACAGAGGGTTTCGGCCAGTAGCACTGCTACTGGCCATGTTTGTGGCTTCACCACATTTCTGGCACAGTAGCGCAGGAACCAGGCCAGTTTGGCTGCCGGACGCCTCACTTGGTGTCGGCGTGCTGCTCATGGCTTTGCGAGCAGCTGCACAGAACACAGGTTACAGCACACACAGACACGCACACACACACACACTCCGCTCCAGAACCAAAGGTGGCTGAAGTGTCTCCGCTCAGCAGACACACACAGAGTTTGCAAAGTCACCTGTGCAATGGCTACACACACCTGGCCCCCTTTGCCTCACTCCGCATTCCTGCATGGGATAACCGCTCGAGCACCGTGGCCCCGCCTATGTGTTATACTGTTTCTACAGGCTACGTGCAAAGTCAAGCAGGTGGCCTCACAAGGCCACCCACACCTATTCTAAATTACGAATTGTTGGCATGCATCCTCTCAATCATTTCTGTCAGTGTACAGCACCGACTTGCCCCGGACTCGTCTCAGGGGACTTGCCAAGTTCACGACATCGCAGCCTCTCTTCAGGGAGCCTTGGGGCCAGCACCTTTGCTGTTGTGGCCTTACTGGGTTGCACTTGGGCTCCTGCTTGACTTCAGCCTTCACTTCAGATTTGAGGTGAGACCCTGCCCCGTGACTGGCTGGCCCTGCACCATGCACACTGGAGCTTCCAGACCTCTTCTTGTCCACACATGAGGCTGCCAACGCCCTCGAGGCTTGATTGCCTTTCTTGATCATGCTCTCACACTCTTCGCTGTCATCTTGACAGAAGAAATTGAAGAAATCTTCAGCCTCCGCAGGGTCGTCAGACAACGCCGCGGGCGTCACTGCAGGAATCAACTCCTGCAGCTCCTGGGTGCTCAGCCTTGTCGGTTCTTCTGGCAAAGCACCATAGATGTATGCTTGCTCCAGCATTGGGCACAGCATGGAAGCCAAATGCAGGGGATGATAAGCGTTCCCTGCTGCCTTCAAGGCGGCAGTCTTGTTATCAAACATACGACACGCCAGGCCGCTGTGGCCTTGGAACATGAAGCGCTCCTCTGGGGTCACGAACCTGTGGAGTCGCTGCCGTTGCCATGGCAAGCAGTTCTTCACCTCCTCCGACAAGAGCAGGAACAACTTGGGGCCAGCAGTGCGAAGGGGCGGGATCATGTCATAGACAATCTGCTTCCCGTAATCACGCAAGGGACTTCGGTCTAGCTCTACAACGGCCACGGTCCCTGCTTTGCCTGCCAGCACATCTTCTTCAATCCGTGTGATGTAGGCAGCAAGGTTGCACCTCATTCGGTGGCTCAGTGAGGCAGGGTCCACTGGGGGCACTGCGGAGTCGATCAAGGTCCTCATGTCCACACGCCCTCCCAAGTCTTTGGCAGTGAATGGCACTGGCAAAGATGCCTCCGGGCCCAAGCAATCTCTGCGCATCCCCCGGATCCACAAACGCTCCCTGTCATGGGGGAAGATCGTCCTGAGATTGTGCACCTGTGCCTCGACACGGAAGAAAGGCACACAGAACCGGAGACGACTCAAAATCTCATCCAGGTACTGGGTTCCCTTGAGCAAGCGGGAGTTCTCCAGCACAAATGCCACAAGCTGGCCCTGCCACGCTTGGAATATGATCCAAGCCACACATGTGTCCATCACATCGCTACGACTATCTGATGTCCCCATTCGAGCCCCTGTGGCTGCCCACGGCCCACACGGTGGCCCTGCTGCAAAAACTTCTGAGGGCTGCAAAGTCTCGACTGAGAGATTCAGGATGTCTCCGTCGCTTCCAAGCTTCATCTTATCCAAGCTCCCAGCTCCCATGTGCTTGGCCAGTCCTCTGTAGTAGCTTATCAGTGAAGCCTCTGTGTCAAAGGCCTGGCTCTCGCAGTGCTCACTGTGAGACAACTCACACAATCTTCGCAGGCCTCCCAAGCCCACACATGGTTCTGTGACCCGCAAAGGTCTTCCGAGCGCTCTCAACACTCGTCCTGCTCGGAAAGCGACCTGTTCCAGATCTACAACACTTTCAGGGCTGCGCGGGCCCTGAAAGTCTTGCTCTGCCATGATGACACAGCCTGCGGCTGCTGTGCTGAGCTCTTTGCCCAGCACACAAGTGCAAGACTCTTGTAGCTCACAATACACCAACAGCATGTCACACAGTGTGCCCCTGAACCCAAAACCCTAAACCCTAGACCCTAAACCCCAAAACCATTAACCCTTAACCCTAAACCCTAGACCCTAAACCCTAAACCCTACACCACATCCATGCCAACATGCCTGCAAGCCATCTTGTGACACAAGCATGCATGTCAAGCCCGAAATTAGGATTTAGAAAGGGGTTTGGGGGGTGGGGGCTGCAAACTTGTTTTTCCTTCTTCAACAACAATTTTTTTTTTTTTTTGGGTGGGGGGCGGGGCTAAGGGGGGTTAAGGGGGATTTGGGGGCTTGGGGTCGGTTGGGGGTGGAGACGTGGCAAAACAGCACAGGACAGGGCGTGGAACATCAAGGACGGGCAGGACACGGGCGGGACACGGCCGGACAGGGCGGGACAGGGCGGGACACGGGCGGGACACGGGCGGGACACGGGCGGGACACGGGCGGGACATGGGCGGGACACTGGCGGGACACTGGCGGGACATGGGCGGGACGCTGGCGGGACATGGGCGGGACGCTGGCGGGACGGGGGCGGGACGGGGGCGGGACGGGACACGGGAGAGACACCCCCAATACACAATTGAAAGAAAAACCCGAACCGGGAGGGACATGGGAGGGACACCCCCCCACCCAAAAACCCTTCTAAAATCCCTTTTGCCCACAAAAAAAACACCCCCCAAGCCCCACGGAGCCCAGAAACCCCTCAGGCACGCTTTTTCTCTCGCTGTCAAGTGCTCCAGCCAGTGCCACCGTGCCCGTGCCCCATCCGGCTTCTGTCCCGGAAGGCACACCGGCAAAAACCTACAAAATCTTCTCGCCCAGGGCCAAAAGCCTATTGAATGCCTGAAGCCGCTGCGACTGCTCTGTCTGCTCAGCGGCTCCGGCTCCAGTGCTGCTTGTCGCCCCAGCTGTGCCAGGCTGGGGCTCTGTCACAGTCTGCTCAGGCTGGGTCCCGGGCCCCTTTGCCTTTGCAGGCCTACTCTTCTCCCGCTGCCGCTCTTCCCTGCCTCGTGGTGCACTGAGCAACCGCACCCGAGCCCTGCTCCTCTCGGAGGCCCCTCTGCCCTCTGACACACGGCTTCGAGTCGGGGCCACAAGCGTCACCTCCTCGGACTCGTCTGTGTAGTTCTCGTAGGAGGAGCTCGAGTCCTGCTTTGCGGCTGCACGGGCAGGAGGGGCACTCGTTGCCCTTCCCCGAGCCTTGTTTCTCTCCTCTCCCGGAGGTCTCGAGCTTTCGCGCTTCTCCGCCTTCGCCCTCCCTTCGTTTTGGGGTGGCTCCTTGGGCTCCGGGGGAGGCTGCGAGCTGCAGCGGTGCAGGTGCTGCTCCAGGTCGAAGCTGCGCCAAAACCTTTTGCCACAGTGCTCACACTTGTGCTCCGGCTGCAGCTCATCACCACGGTAGCGTGCCTGCCACTGCTTGCAGTACGCGTTGGTCTGCAAGTGCATTCCAAGCGTGCTCCGTGCAGCCGCCCTTTTCAGCCACTGGCAGACTGGACACTCGGAAGGCTGCGACCTCCTCCCCGAAAGGCCCGTGCAAGGGGTCTTTCTCCTTGCCACCCTTGGTGCTCCCAGGCGAGCCTGCTCGGGAGCCTGCTCGGGAGCCTTTCTTGCTGCCCTCGCTCCGGCTCCTGTGTCTGCTTCTGGAGCGGGCCTTTCGGTCTGGCGACGGCCGTGGCTCTTCTCCATCTTTCTTCTCCTCAGAGTCTGACTCTGAGCGGCCCCTTCGCCTCTTCCTCTCCAGATCTGCTTTGTCTGGCGACTCTCTGGCCTCCTGCTCTGCCGCCTCTGGCGCAGGCTCCCGTCTCCGCTCCTCGTCCTCGGAGCCGGAGCTTTCACGGCCACGGCCACCATCCCTTTCCTCACCACCAGCAGCCATCGCCTTCGGCGCCGGCATGGTGGCTCGTACCTGCAGGGCAAGGAAGTCAAGGGTTTAGGGTTTAGGGTTTAGGGTTTAGGGTTTAGGGTTTAGGGTTTAGGGTTTTGTGGGTGTTCAGGGCTTTGGGCTTGGGAGCTACAGATACAGATTGGACCCTCTCATTCGCCGCCTGCATGCCCTCAGTGCGGTCAGCGCCTGCAGGCCCCAAAACAGGCCCCGGCCTCTGACCGCACTAGAGCACCGGCTCTGCGAACTGGCCCCTCCACCTCTTCGCCGCCTGCATGCCCAGAGCACGGTCAGCGCCTGCAGGCCCCAAAAAGGCCCCGGCCTCTGACCGCACTCGGGCACCGGCTCTGCGAACTGGACCCCACCTCTTCGCCGCCTGCATGCCCAGACACTGTGGTCAGGACCCTCTGACCACAGTCCGGCACCGGCTCTGCGAAATGTCTTGCTCCCTCTACCCTAGCCCTAAACCCTCACCCTAAACCCTAAACCCTGAACCCTGAACCCTACACCCTCCTAAACCCTAAACCCTAAACCCTGAACCCTAAACCCTAAACCCTAAACCCTATACCCGCAAAAAAGCCCGCTGGCCTCTGTCGGGCTCACCAGGCTCACCACCCACCACACACCCATCTAGCTTGGGCTTGAGCCAAAGCTTCGCGCGACAAAGATTGTCCTCAAAAAAAAAACATGTCTGTGGTACAATGTCTCCTACTGTGACTTTTGGCTTCTGAGACTTTTCCAAACTTTCAGGCACCCAAACGCTGCCTCTCCTGCACTCTCTCAGTTACGGCATCATCAGGATTGAAGGCCACATGATGGTTTGACGTGGTGTACTGATGGGCCGCCTGCACCCAAGCGAAAAGCCAGGCCACGGCTGTGGCCTGGCTGGCATGAGATCGCAGGAATGTGTATCGCCGGCAGTTGCCATGCCGGGGGTCCCGGCACTGGATGAAAGCTCGTCTGTGGCCACTTGTGTGAGTCCAGTTGTCAAAATGCACGACGAAATCACTCATCCCCGGGATCCGACAATTTTGGGAAGGAACACTCGGGAGGTCCAGGGAGAGCCTGAGAGGTGCAGTCTGTGCACGAGGCCT